CATCAGGATGTGGGCGATTATGGCTCTCCACAACTTCTTATCCTTTATAGCGCTTAGTAAGATTTCTCTTTTTGTTGTCTCTGTTAATCCCTGTTCTGGCAACCATTTATTCAAGCTCGTGAGGTAGCTTATTCGCTGCTTTCCCCTGTCCCTCTTGCCTTCATTACGTCCTGTGAATGTAAAATTTGCCAAGCCGACTTATCCCATTGTGTGTCCTAGAAACTTCAATAATATCTTACTGATTCTAAGTATAAGTGTTATTTTGTTTCCATTTTCCTTAAAACTTTCTTGTTACTCACATGTTGAGTTCCTGATATTCTCAGCATCCTACAGTAGAACCACATTTTAGTTGCTTCAAGTCTCTTCTTCCTTTGTGAGGAGATTGTCCAGCATTCACTGCCATGTGGGAAGACTGGTATAACGTAACAGATTACTACACTTTTCTTTGTCTCTGTTACTTCATGACTCTTCTTCATTTGTGTGGAGATTGTCCAGCATTCATTGCCATTTAGGAGAACTGATATTACGTAACAGTTCAGTACTCCTCCCTTTGTTTCTGTTGCTTCAAGTCTCTTCGTCATATGTAAGGAGATAATCTAGCCTTCACTGCCATTTAGGAGGACTGATATTACGTAACAGTTTAGTACACTTTTCTATGTCTCTGTTACTTCAAGTCTCTTATTTATCTTTGAGGAGATTGTCTAACATTCACTGACATATAGGAGAACTGATATTAAGTAACAGTTCAGTACTGTTTTCTTTGTCTCTGTTGCTTCATGACTCTTCTTTGTTTGTGAGGAGTTTGTTCAGCATTCACTGTAAGACTGATTCAACGTAACATTTCAATGCTCTTTTCTTTGTTTGCAACGAAATGTTCCTGTTACTTAAGACTTTGCTAAGCTTTTGGAAAGCATCTTTTGTTAGTTAAACTAGCTTTTGATTTCGGTGTCGTATTTTCCGTCCTCTATTGAAACTCTAACTAGAAATTAAAATGTTGCTTTTCTTTTGGTGTTTCAATTTGATAGTTCACATCTTTTCCCTTGCAAGCATATATTGTGTATTGACACAATTTGTTTTTGTCCTTTCTTCTCACTTTCCTTTATGATCTTCCGTAAGAGTTCCTTTATTTTAATTTCTGTGTTTGCTATCAACAGTGTGCCATTTGTATGTCATATATTGTTAAGATTGTAGCCGCCATTACTAAATTCTGGTAGGACTTCTATCCGAATCATCTCAAATAAAGTTTGAATAAATCCGATGAAAATACACATCCTTGTTTATGCCCCTTTCTATTTTTGTGTATTAACTGAATTCATTTTCTGTTCACATGCAGATGGTTTTCTCCCAGTATAAGTTCAGAATTATTCTAATATTCTTCCGAAATAGGTCAATCTTACCTAGCAGCTGAAACAAGATTCTGTGCCGTACCTTATCAACAGCATTTGCACAATTTATAAAGCACAAGTAGACTCCCTTCTGCATTCGCATTGCTCTTTCTTTTAGGATTCACCCGAAGCAAGTGGATAATGACACTAAGACGCAAAAGAGAATGAGAAGACTTTAGTGAGGAGAAGTGAGGAAAGAACAATAGAGGAACAAGAAGATAGAAACTGGCGATTGAGATTTCATTTAATCTTTTGGAGATTTTAGGTGACAGGAATGCAATACATCAGAATGGAAGGTCCACGGGTGAGAAGTGTGAGAAAAGAAACGGCTAGAATAGAAGTGGCGGTTGCATCTACAGTCAAACGGTTAGACCTAATTGAAAATCTTAAATTCATGCAGTTGAGGCACTAAAGGAAAAAGCTCACCAGAACAGTTGCTCTGGAAATATTTGTAGAAAAAGACAGAGGGAAGCCACACCAGGTCGGTGAGAAGGTGAAGTTGAGATGCGTGGTCAGCAACGATTACATTATAGACTCTTCTTTGAATTTTGTCAAGAATCTTGAGATATACAGTAGAAGCACCAGACCAGATGTGGCAGCAATATTCAATGTATGGACGAATGGTAGATTTATAAATGTGCAAGATGGATTCTGAAGAGAAAAAATTGTCTACCACGACACAGTGAACCAACTTTCCTATCCAAGAAATTGATTCAATATAATCACTCCATTTTTTATATATATATATATATATATATATATATATATATATATATATATATATATATATATATATTACTACGCAACATTAGTTGCCACTGAGTGGTAGGACTAATTCGCAATTCAGAAAGAACTGTTTCTACATATCTTTTAAGTGACTGTAATCTTTATTTAAAGCCGTGCTGTGTATTTAAAATTCCTTGCAGGTAAAAAGTTGGGTAGAAAAGCCTTTTTGGGCTCATATTTTCCACTGACATTTTATTTTAAACGTGAGCCCAAGAAGGCGCAAAGAGATGTTCTCCTGAAGTTTAAGATCTGTCATGCTGATGGCACGCAGAAAAGCTTTTCTATGGTGATTAAATTAATGTATTTTTAAACATTACGCTACATTTTTATTTCATTTATGTACTAATGTTCCCTGATCCGCTTCATTTCTTAAAACATTCAAGTAATGTTACGCTTTACAAACCACTTCGTCTAGTTAGATAGACTAAAGAGCCATAGGCTTATTATGCGAACATAAAATGTCTTTTGTTTTTCCACCATGGCCTTTCTACCTGCAAGGAATTTCAAATGCACAGGGCGTCTGTAAATGAAGATTACAGTCACCTAAAAGATATGTAGAAACAGTTCTTACTTAGCTGCGAATTAAGCGTACGACTCAGTGGCAAATATTGTTGCGTAGTAAAACAAAAAAGAAGAAGAAAGAAACATATTTTTCTAGACTGTCATAGTGGGCTGAACGTTTACTGCAGTCTTCACTCTTGTTGAAGTGCTTTGAATCTCTATCGGATTAAGCGAAGGCGTTTAGGCCATCAAAGATAAGGATCCAGGACAATTTTTGCTCATCCTGCTTTTATTACTATGAATTATCTTGAATCGGACAAAGAAAACCCAGGATAAATAATCACTGTCTGATTTTTTACGCTATCGTTCACACAAATCAAGGACCAAGAGCTACTCAAGGTAGACATTCCTGAATAACGCTGTTTTAGGCATGCAAGAATGGTAGATTAAGAGGATATGTAGGATAGATAACGGTTGCCCTGGACTTGAAGAGGTTAAGATTGTAGTGGTTGGGCAAACAACACCTCGGGAGTCTGTTCCGCAGAGCAGCGTCTATTGAAATGTCTGAATAGAACTTCCTTCATATCAAATGGAATACAAAGGAAATACGGATGATTCACTTTCATATACATGTCATAGCGGGCCTATCTGCAAACACCTGAACTGATGGAACAAGTGAATGTAGCTCGTCAGACCATTTACAATGGAAATAGTGATAGAGTAGTGATATATTTGCGACGTTACATCTGTGGGAAATAGAGTGTAGTGTGGAAAATAATTCATTACTCGCACGATCGCATAAATGCTTTGAGCTTTGTCAAGTGTGGAGAGTGAGTATTGGGTAGCATAGAGTAATGGATAGCGGCTCGGTTTGAGAAATCGGAGAGCCGAGTTCGAATTCCAGTCATAATCATTATATTCACTTACGTGCTAATACTCTTGGGAAAGGTATGAATCCTCTTAGTCTCCCCCAGCTATGGGTAAATAGCACGACAGACCGGGTTCTACAGCCTTGGATAACAACTGATCTACCGCAGAAATAATGGCAACCTACTGTGGGAAAAAATCTACCTCGTCAGTCATGTATGGAAAGATACATGATCGCCTAAGCGTGTATCACGCATGGCACATAACTGACTGATAGCTTAGATATGACAGCAATAGTTTAATTTTTAGCTGATCTGATTTGTAAAGTTAAAGTATGACTGGTGAAATCAAGTATAGTTTTAAATCGGGACGAGCCGATCATTTTTCTAGCGATTCACCTTAAGTGTTAGAAGAAACAGAACGAAGATATTTCTCGTGGTTTAACAGACAGGCAGCTCCAGGACAACCATAGTTTTCACTGCTTTCATCTTTCATCTTATTCGATTAACTACGGTAAGAAGACTCGGAGTTAATTATCCCAATCTGATCCACTGTAAGTGTAAGAAAAACAAGATAGAAGAAATTTATCGTTGTTAAATGCATCATTTGCTCCCTGAACAATCATGGCTCACATTAATTTCATCTCTATCTTCGAATTGTATCACTGTTCGTTGGCTGATTACGATCATCCAGTTCAAAGACTTTCCTTGTGGATTAACGCGACCATTTTACCAGAACAGTAATTGGACACCGGCTAATGAAATTCTTTGCGATATATCGCATCAAAAGTTTCTAAGTTTTGTGCCTGTTGGTCATATTTCTTCTTATTTAGTTTCTGATGATCCGTCGAAACTTCAAGTATTCGTCGTCTTTCCCAAAGAGCATGGCATTTGTTATTCTCTAAAATGGTCACAGAAATCCCAAATTATATCTGAAGAAATTTTCTAGTAATTAAGATGACGTAGACGCATAGTGATGACTTCGAACTTTATGTAGTTCGATTGAATTGTTTTTTTACGGATTATCAACCTCTTGCAGGTTATTTAAAGACAGAAAATATTTTGAAATGGTAAGAATGTTTTTGGAGATAATAATGATTTACTGACACAAGTACTACTAATTAAGAAGAGGGTGAAGAGGTGGATTCAAACTTTTCTCAAGGGTTTTTTGGTTGTTTTTACTTAGGGCCATATCAAACACTGTGTGTTATTAGATGCGGAAATCTAAATATTTTGTAAGCAATTTTATTTTTTGGAGATAATAATTTTATTTTTTGGCGATAATAATATTTTACTATTTAACCCATATCTGGGGGATGAGGTGGATTCATACCTTTCTCAAGACTAATTGAGTAAGTGAATATAACGAATAAGTGAATATAACGAATTCAACTGGAATTAGAACGCGGTTCTCCGATTTACAATTCCGAAACATTATCCATTACACCACCTGCACATCCAGGCTTACAGCACCTGGTATTCCCAAGCGGTCACCGATCTAAGTACTGACCAGGCTCGACGTTTTTTAAATTCGGTGAGCATACGCGAACCGGTGTTTCAGCGTAATTTGGCCATAAGCCAATGGTATTTGTGCGTTATTGAAAATAACAAACCTGACTGGAAATGGAACTCACCTTACCGATTTCAAATTTTGAGCCGTTATCCATCACACCATCCGCACATCCAAGTTTACAGCACCTAGTATTACCAAGTGGTCAACCATATTGGTACTGGCCAAAATTGCCATTGTTTAACTTCGGTCAATGTACAGGAACAGAGTTTCAGCGTGATATGGCCGTAAGCTGAGTTTTATGTAGAAGTCATACTTTTATGGTGATAAGATTATTGCAATTTTCAATTTGTTACTTATTGATAGCAAAACATTAATATTAGAATTGAATTGTTGAGATTTTACCTTAAAAACGCACTATAATAAAGTCACATGATATGACTGAGGTTTAAAGTCACGTAAGAAGGTATCAGATTGGAAGAAGTCTATCCATCTACTCCTCACTTAACGACTGGATCTCGTTCCAAGGAGATGGACGTTAAACAAGTAGGACGTTAAGTGAGGCATATGCATATAGACATCTTCCAACCACAATCATTCCTGTCAAACCGTGAATTGAAGGTCGTTCTCAACGGATTTTCCTCCAGTTCCTATCCCACGAACGCAGGTGTTCCCCAAGGCTCCATACTTGGCCCCACTCTATTCCTTATTTTCATCAACGACCTTCCTGACGCCATAGATTCCCAAGTTGGCATCTACGCGGACGACACTACAATTTACTCCTGCCTCAAAAACAAATCTAGTGTCGCTGACAAAACTAACCTGGCCGCTCGTCTTGAAATGGAGCTCCAATCGGTTGTTAATTGGGGCAAGGATTGGCTGGTCAACTTTAAGGCCTCAAAAACTAAACTACTCTCTATTAATCACCATAGAGATCTTTCCCCCCCCCCTTAGAATGTCTGATAGTCAACTTCTTGAGAGCAACTCTCTGCGTCTGCTCGGTCTCACGTTGACTGCTGATCTGAGATGGAACAAATACATTGAGTCTATTGCTTCATCCACCGCGAGGAAAGTTGGCTCTCTGTACCGTGCCAGGAAATTTTTCTCCCCGGAATCGATACTTCAAATATACAAATCAACCATTCGCCCTTGCATGGAGTATTGCTGCCATATATGGTCTGGTGCACCTTCTGTTTACATGTGGGTCTTGACAAGATCCAGAGGCGGATATGTAATATAATTGGCCTCGATCTGGCATTTCGTCTACAGTTGCTCTCTCACAGACGCGCCGTCGCCTCTCTCTGTCTTTTTTACAAGTACTTTCATGGTAATGGCTCCGATGAGCTGCTTTCACTGGTTCCCAGATTTCATGAATTCAAGCGCCCTACGAGGCTGGTATCCCGCTCTCACCCTTTCACTGTAGAAACTTTTAAATGTAGCCGTCTCTTCTACTCCAATAGCTTCATACCTCGCATCTCTTACCTGTGGAATACCCTTCCCTATTACTGTTTCCCTGAGAGCTATAATCTCCAACTATTCAAATGTAATGTCAATCGACATCTCCAGTTACCTTGATCTACCCACTATCCCTCTCTTCATCCTTTCTTCTATCACTCCTATCTGCTCTCGCTCCAAATCTTCTGCAACCCCCTGCATCCTAGTGGCTTCGCTCGGGGCGTAATGCTTAAAAAAAAAACTCTGTTCGCCATTTCAGTTATTTCTCATTTCTATCTAAATGTTTATACAGTACAGTAATGTACCGAACACAGTGAACGTAATTAACAAATTCGAAAATCACTCCTATTGAATATGTCTATCAGACTTTAGATTTTATTCCTAAAGGATTATCAACGGCTAAGAAAATGCACTTGATTTGTGATCCTTTTGAACTTTTCGCGCCTTTACACAATGACTCCATTGTTTACTCCTATGCAGCTCGATTAATAGAAAACAGTAAATTACGAAAATAAAGCACGCAAATATAAATATACATTACATCTCTAAAGATTTCTTCACTTATTTAAGTTATTCAGTTAATATTCCTATTAATAAAACAAATGCTTACACCACTTTAAACACTGGTTCCGGTACGATCACCGAAGTTAAGCAATGTTGACCTTGGTCAGTACCTAGATGCCTGACAGCTTGGGAATAATACCAGGTTCCAAGTTCTGTATGCTTGGGTGTGCGGGGTGATGTAATGTATAATGGCGCCGAATTAGAAATCGAAGAACCATCTTCCAATTCCCGTTGGGTTCGTTATATTTACTTACGAGCAAAAACCTTTGGGGAAAGGTATTAATCGACCTCTTCTTCCCCCAGCTATGGGTTAATTAGTCAGGCTTGCATCATTAAAACCATTATTATCTCAAAAAAATTCTTAGAATCTAAAAATATTTTCTGGCTTTAAATAATCTGCAAGGGTTAGAAAACAAGCCAATCAATCAATGAATACAAAGACGTCTATATAATTTAGTAAATTTTCATGCTTAACACTTTTATTCTAGCTCCCATGGCTCAAAACCTTCCAAGGAGACAAATTTAAACTTGAGATTTTAAGAAAAAGATTTTCAAAGTTTCACCCGACAGTAACATCTAATTTTCGGTCAATGGATACCGAATATCTCAATCTTTGCTATTAGCCTAGTTTTTTGCAGAAGAGAATCTTTTTATCCATTTAAATAGTAGACAGATACCATAAACTATTTAATTATTTTACATGGACGTCACCCTGGAGAGTGATACATTTTCAATAAATTCGCTAAATTCAGCAATGTATTTCGTAGTTATTGTTAATTTTGGTTTGTATTATTTTCGACTAACTACTTAAACCATAGATGACTTACTATTGTAGAGGAGTGTCGTAATTCTATAGCCCAAGATTTTGTCGTCCCAAATATATGACAATTGATACTAGGTTACGAATAGTTTTGCCATTGTTTCAAATAATGTCTTTTTTATTATAAACAGTAAGTAAATGTTTATTCTGGGTTAGGCCCAGCAAAAGGAATTTGCGGTTTTTTATTTATTAGTTCTTGCTTTATAATCAAAGAGATGACCAAGAGAATTTAAATTTAGTTTCGAGGATTTTTTCACATTCATTACTTCAAAAGAAAAGTATTAAGAAACAGTAAACTTTCGTGAGAAACGACAAAAAATGTTACTGAACTATTACGTAAGACCAGTAGTCCTATATGGCAACGAATGCTGGATAATCCGTTCATAGACGAAGAGCCTCGAAGCAACAGAAACAAACAAAAAGGGTACTGAACGGTGACGTAATATCAGTCCTAATATATTACGCAGTAAATGCCGGACAATCTCCTCACAGACGAAGAAGAGACTTGAAGCAGCAGAAAAAAGAAGAGTACTGACCTGTTACGTAATATCAGTCCTCCTATATGGAAGTGAATGCTGGAAAATCATCTCGCCGATGAAGAAGAAATTTGAAGCAATCGAGACAAAGAAAAGAGTACTGAGCTGCTAAGTAATATCATTCCTTCTATATGGCAGTGAATGATAGACAATCTCCTCACTGATGAAGAAGAGTCTTGAACTGACAGAAGAGATTGAATGCAAGAGTGACAGTGGAAAACAGCGAATAACATACCTAACAAGATTGTGTAAATGGATGGAAGAATAGGGTTTAGGATATATAACAAAAAGAGCTACAAAGGATAGGAAATTTTGGGAGCCATGATCACCAACGTCTTCGGCGTACAGAATGAGAAGAATGGTGAGAACTATTTGCACCTACAAATATTAGCACGCCGTAGACAGCTAACGTGACGACATTGTCAATATATCTCAATAGGCCATTCAACCATTTATGGAATCGATACTATATTTAGTTCTTGTACTTCGTGGAGTTAGATAGATTCTATATTATACTAGGCATCTATCCTATAACTTTTGGCATGTTACTGTATGTAATTGAAATTATATACAATTTTCACTCTTATGTAAATAATGTTTTATCATAGCTAGTTTCCTTGTAATCAAAAGCAGTCTGACTTTAGGATGTTTATACTAAGTAAATGAAAAGTTTACCATATTCTAAAATAGAATGTGTGGGGTTAATATATATAATGGAAGATCTATATGATACGTATATGGGCGTCTATCGTGACATAATTGTCAACAAGTTAATTTCTTCACGAATCCACTCATGAATTCGATATTTATGCCAGGCATCCTCCCCATTTGCTCTATTGCAACAAATATTGGCACCAGAAATCCACCGAGTAACAGAAAAACGAAGAAATAATAATGTAACATTGGATCATAGTTTTGTAGCCCAGTCGAGTAACATGATTGTAATTGACAAGGTTGTCAAAGAAATTCAACCTTTTCAAATGGAATAAATTTCAAAACGCGAGGGAATTTTCCATATACAGAGTGTTCACAAAATCTTTAGACAATTTCAAAATGTCATTAAGAAAAAAAGAGGAAGCAACGAAATTTTTGTTGCATATTAATATGTTGTTATTAAAGTTCATTTGGCAAACATGGACATACGTGTCTGCAATAATAAATAAATAATCTAAGATTATAAGAGGTATAAACCCCAATAATCCAATGATAAATGAGATAATAATAACTTGAATGTCGCACATTCTGGTCCTTCTTCTTCTTCTTCTTCTTATAATAATAATATCTGTTTTATACACATTTTCCACTGATCATTTTTATAAAAAAACAAACCCCCCAAAACATCACACCTTTTTACATATATAAACCTGGTCGTAATGTGCGAGCTGTACTTGTGAGTATAATTTTTTTTTAATGCACGGCCTACCTGGGATTCCTTCAATATGTCTATTGGAATCTTTTCCAATCAATCCGAGTACTCCAACTATAACTGGAATTATTGATGTCCTTATGTGTCACATTTTTTAGACTTCCACTTCAAGATCCTTGTATTTTGATAGTTTTTTTTAAGATCTTCAAAGATGCATTACAATATGCAAGGACTGCCATGTTAATAAGAAAGCATATTCTGTTTTTGTGGCCTTTGATCCCGATGTCGGGGCGATTAGCTTTGATTGTTCTGCCTGTGTGTATTGTAAAGTCCCTTAAAATTTGTACAGGTTTTATCTCTGTAAGCGAGTCAGGGGGATGCTCATACCAATTTCTTGCAGTTTCCTTCCTGTAAAATTTGCATATTTTTCAGTGCAGATATTTTCTGATACTATCATACCCAGTTTTATATTCACTGGGTGCTAACACTGTACAGCCTGATACAAGATGGTCAATTATTTCTAGATATTTATCACAGAATCTGCATTTTGGGTTAACACAGTTTTTCAGTATATGTGCTTAGTAATTTCTAGTGCAGCAAAAATTAACACCACGTAAGCAATGATGGTTACCGGATTTGCCTACATCAGTTTGTTTGGTACGGGCAAAGTATTGACTATGTAAAGGCTTATCTTGCCATAGTTTCTACATTTGGTACATTGCATTTGCTTTTGTTTTGTACTTCATCCACTTGAAACTATCTTTTGAGTTTGTTGGCTTTCTTTATTACTGAATAAAGTTTCTTATTTCTTTCATGTTCTTTGACACAGATCAGCATCCAACCTTCTGTCGTTTCCACCTGTCTTTGAAGACCGATACTAGTCGTTTTGTAAGACAGTTCTAATTGAAATAATCCTCTGCCTCCTTCGGATTTGGTGACATACAGAGGATCAACATCAACCTTAAGATGATACATGCGGTGACCAATGAAAAGTTTTCTTGTCTTGACATCCATTCGCTTAATGTCAGCTATGGTCAGTTAAGGATGTTGAAACTGTATTGAATCACAGGGGCAGTCAAAATGTTTATGACTAATATTCTCTTCAACTTGGTTTTTAACACCAAACGCACACTATTATTATTATTAATCAGTAAGCAACACTTTATGTATTTTGTGTTCCCGCTTTAAGCTGAGACCAGGGCGCATTAAAAAGAATCACAAAAGATAAAAACTGGATTGAAATTTAAGCAACGAGAGAAGCAAATATTTGTTGCGTAATACTATACACGCATCTTACTGTTATAATAATGTATTCTTACTAATCAAGATCGTAGTTAAAAAACAAATAAATATTATGTTGAATCACCACTAATGACCGTTATGTGGGGCCAGTTGTAATGATGAATTTGTTATTCTAACTACTAATCATACCTGGCATTTTTTTTTAATCAAGTTCACCCCATTCAAGGCAATTAAGGGTTTACCGGGTGTGAAAGAATTAGAAAACAGAAATATTATTAAGTCACGAGAACAATAGAAGAGAATTCAGGAGGACATTAAATAGCGATTGATATTGCATTTTAGTTTTTGATGATCAAATGTGTCTAGAAAGAATGACGTCCACAAGCGAGAAGTGCGAGAAAAGAAACTTATGGCTACATTTAACCAGACTTGTTGACAGTCTAGTACGGAATTTAAATTCATAAAGTCTAGGTCCGAACAATTGTCATTAAAGTATTTATAGAAAAGGCAGAGGGAAGCAACTTTATAATGAAAGTAACTGAAGCCGAGAGGACAGGTCAGTACTAGTAATATTGCTGATTCTTTTTTGGATTTTATGAAAAACCTCTAAATACATAGCAGGAGTACCGGACCATATGTGGCATCAATTTTCGAAGCATGCGGCACCTTCGGAAAGTGCATGGAACACATACAACGGGTTGACCCAAGCCTTGTGAGTTCAATTGGGTAAATGGAACTCTTTTGGGGTCGTCAATGGTGGTGCTAGTACGAAGTCACAAGTCATCGTGACCGAGGGCTTGAGTGTGCCGTGTTCAGACTGTTATGAAGTTCTACTTAGCATAGTTGCATAGTTGCAGTATAAACCAAAGTTGGGATTTGTAGGTGTTGAACAAATACAAATGTGCCTGAGTAGAACTCTTCAACAAGGATTGGCTAGTCGCCCTAATAGACGGGCATCCTCCGATATGTGTGGCCAGCTATTATTATTAGGCTTCGTATATTTGTATGCCTGTTCTTCGTTCAATAATAATAATAATAATAATAATCGAACAGAAATACTACCGCCAAAAACCAGATAAGATCATATGGGTTTTTAACATCGAAAGAGAACGAAACCAGACATCAGCATTGTTGAAAAGAAAAGAAAAACCAGGAAAATGCCTCCTCATCGATGTGGTTGTTCCTGGTGACCATAATATCAAGGTTAAAGAAATTAGAAAACTTAAAAGCAGATACCATCGAACGTAAAAACCTATATTAAGTAAATCGCCTTGTAACCCATCGCTTCAGTATTCTTCCTTGCTTGGAACTGCAAATATTCTCTGAAAGGTGCTATGTTCATATTATTTGATGGGAAACTATCTTAAGACAAGATCTCCAGTTGAAAGCAAAAACAAAACAAGAAAAAAAAAAAACGTGCAGAAAAAATATAATAATAAATATGATGCAGACCCCTGGTATGTCCTTAACAGACTGGGTGTCATGATGAGTATATTTGGCCTTGTATATTTGTATCCCAGCATCACCCTGTTGGCCTGCTGTTCTTTCTCCCAATAATAATAATAATGATTAGTATGTACCCCAGCCTCACACTGTTAACTTGCTGTCCTCTCACCCAATAATATTAATAATAATAATGAATTGTATGCACACCAGACTTACCCTGTTTTTCCTCTCACCTAATAATGATAATAATGACTCGTATGTACCCCATCGTTATCCTGTTGGCCTGCGATTCTCTCACCCAATAATAATAAAAATAATAATGACTCTTATGTACCCCAGGTTCACCCTATTGGCCTGCTGTTCTCTCATAAAATAATAACAATAATAATAATAATTGTTGCAACATACCTACAGACGATATTGGGTATGTTCCCATTCACATAAATACAGTAGTAAATACTATATATTGGTTTGCAGTTGGAGATTAGTCTCCAACTGTGCTGGTCAAACGATCTCCTCCGGGCAGAGAGGATCCCCAGACGAAGCTCTGTTGAAGGGTAAAGTCTCATCTCGGGAAATAGCTACCCGACCCCGCTTTATACGAGGACTACGGGGAATTTTTGGCCGAGCTCGGATACCCCACAGTAAATTCGGCCTTGTGCCACATCTGACCATGTGGGGAGGTTGGTAGATATCCTGCAGTTAGAGATTCGTCTCCAGCTGTGCTGGTCAAACTCTCTACCTGCGGGCATAGATCATCTCCGGGCGAGGCTATGTTGAAGTGCACAGTCACATCTCGGAAAACAGCTACCCGACCACCCTGTTTTTTACTGGGTCCAGGGGGAATATTTGGTCGAGTCTACGGAAATCCCACATTAAATTCGGCCTTGTGCCAAATATCATGCACTTGGAGATTCATTGTGCAATTCAATTGACTCACTTCTAGGTGTTGACTACTTCGTCTACGCGCCGCCGCTGAATGTGTTGTTCTTGCGCTAAGTATTATCGTTCATTACCAACCTTCGGGTGATTATTCTATACAGTAACCTTCACTAGGTTACAACAAAAATAATAATAATGACACCAGCCTCACCCTGCTGACCTACTGTTTTCTCACACAATAATAATAATAATAATAATAATAATAATAATAATGACTCGTATGAACACCACCGCCACCCTGTTGGCCTGTTATTCTCTCACACAATAATAATAATAATAATAATAATAATAATAATAACCCGTATGTAGCCCAGCCTCACCCTGTTGGCCTGCTTTTCTCTTACATAATAATAATAATAATAATAATAATGACTCGTATGTATCCCAGCGCCACCCTGCTGGCCTGTTATTTTCTCACATAATAATAATAATAATAATAATAATAATGTCTACTCGTATATTAATAATAATTATAATGACTCGTATGTAGCCTAGCCTCACTCTATTGGCTTACTGTCCTTTAACCCAATAATAAGAATAATAATAATAATGGCTCGTATGTACCTCAGCCTCATCCTGTTGTCCTGCGGGTCACTGACATAATACTACTACTACTACTACTACTACTAATAATAATAATGATGATGACTCGTATGTACCCCAGCGCCACCCTGCTGGCCTGCTATTTTCTCATCCCAAAATAATAATAGTAATAATAATAATAATGACTTTTATGTACTCCAGCCTCACCCTGCTGGCCTGTTGTTCTTTCACCCAATAATAATAATAATAATAATAATAATAATAATGACTCGTATTTTTCGAGAAACCATGTCACAAATTCTATAATAAGCAAGTAAAATAGGAAATGTATAGTTTAGGAATGCCCCAAATAAATCGGGAAAAAATAAATTGATGTTAAAAGCCTTATATTTGGGTCAAATGACTTGAATGAAACCATACAAAATGATGTCATTAAACATTATTTTGATTGAGAAAACTGAATAGCTCCGTTTCTGGAATTCGAAAATAGGGATTTTATCTGACACTAACGGCACCAAATATGTTTATGAGGGGAAAAGAATCTAAAAGAGGCGAGTATATTGGATTATAATACAACGAAACTGAAAGAGACGGGTACTATTTTTTTAAAAAGCCCATTGAAACTCAGCATTGAATTTCATAAGAAATACTTAATTTTTTATCACAGAAAATTACTGGCTTACGGCCACACCACACTGAAACACCGGTTCCTGTATGATTCTTGAAGTTAAGCAACGTCGAGCCTGGTCAATACGTAGATGTCTGACCGCTTGGGAATACCAAGAGCCATATGCTTGGATGTGCGGGTGGTGTAATGTATAATGACTCTGAATTTTTAATCAGAGAGCCGAGTTACAATTTCCTTTGGTTTCGTTATATTCAATTACGAGCAAACACCCTTGAGAAAGGTATGAATCTGCTTCTTCTCCCCAGCTGTGGGTTAATTAGTAAGACTTATATCACTAAAACCATTATTATTTCCAAAAAAATGAAATTGCGTACAAAATATTTAGATTTCAGAATTAAATAACCCGTAGAGATTGATATGTCGCGAAGCAAAATACAACCGACAGAAAATAGTGAAACGGTGGTGGAAATAAGGGAGTAGCCATAAAGGGTGTGGCCAGCGATAAAACAAACCCTGATTACTATTCCAGTCTTTTCTTTTTTCTTTTTATCTATACCTATCGAATTGGTTATGTAAAGCTATAAACGTAATCATTGGTTAGAATAAAAGTTTTCAGGTATTTGTTTAATAAAATCTATCCGTGATATAGATGTGCGGGTATTGTTGTGATTGCTAGTGGCTCGCTAGCCGAGTTCGAATTCTGGTCGAGTTTGTTCAGTTCACTTTGGCACCTTTGTAAAAAGTTATGCACCCAACCCATTATCCCCTTGTTTTGTTTCTTCAGCACCCATAGAGCCAACCTTTGGCTTATACTGCAACTATGCTGAGTGTACCTTACGGTTCAAGTATGTACCCCACTGCTTTTCATTCCGAGACTCTAACCATTATGCTATAGCTACATCGAAAACCTCCTTAGCATAAAAAGCAAAAGAAACGATAAGTTCGTCTTCTCGTCCAAAAGAAACTGAATTCAAAATACGACAATATTACTCCAGTACAATTAACAGCAAAGCAATGGAATTAGTGAGGATTGGTATTTTTTTTAATCGAATTCACACCAAGCAGGGCAGTAAAGCCACTAAGAAAAAAGGGGGGTTACTGGGTGTGTAAGAGTTGGAAACAGAAACATTACTAAAGAGCAAAACCAAAAAGAGTAATCAGGAGGACACTACATAGCGATTGGCATTGCATTTGAAAGTTGGCTTGAAAGCATAGAGCCGCAAGGGTGTTCCACGAGCGAGAAGTACGAGAAAAGAAACTGTTAGCATAGAACTTACGGTTACATCTAGCTCGATCAACTGTAAATTGATGTGATCTCGCCGCCAGTCTAGTACAACGCCTAAATTCAAAATGTCTATGCTCCATAGCGAAGACCGATATTTATTCCGCATTATGTACAGAAATATGGCACAAGACGAAAATGGGGAATGAGGGAAAAGGACGGTCTTCTTCTGCCTTAACATTAAACTCAGCTAGCCATGATCACTGACCCAAACATACCACAATATTCCTTACACCAAAACAACGCATTCTTACTTACCTTTCTTACAACATTCATATCAATTCATAAAGTCTAGAAACCATAGCTCATCCGAACAATTACCAAGAAAGTATTTATAGAAAAGGCACAGGGGAGGGGCAACTTTAAGGCGGTGGGAAAGTAACTGAACTTAATACCATTTGCTTTCCAACAGAAGCAAATAAAGTAATTTATTGTGTAAACGTGGTAATAATAATAATAATAATAATAATAATAATAATAATAATAATGATGATGAAACTAAAGTAAATGTGACAATGTTTATGTTATCTTCAAGCCTTGTAACTATTTATTGTATTGTGCCATCACAACTACTGTTGCTGCTGTTATGACGATAGTGACCCGCTGACATTCAAACGACCGTGGTCAGGATGGCATTGAATGATCTTCGACTCTGGTTTCTCCAGGCATTGCACATTAATTGACTGATGAGTGAGACAACAAAGCAGGGTCACGAAATTAAGAGCATGTATTTTACAAGTTACTCTATTTGATAGATTTTTTTTTCTTTTTAAATAGAGGACAAATTCCAACATTCAGCGTGGGAAACAAAAAAAATGAAAGGAAAAATATGTATATTAAATGAAGTCCACGTCTACGCCAAGCAATGCCAGAACTTTCATCGCAGTTACTTATGATGTCACTAATATATATATATATATATATATATATATATATATATATATATATATATGTGTGTGTGTGTGTGTGTGTGCAGGTACGGTGGAGATAGCGGCTCGGATTGAGGAATCAGAGAGCCGAGTTGGAATTCCAGTCGAATCCATTATATTCACTTACGTGCTAATACCCTTGGGAAAGGTATTAATCCTCTTCTCCCTCCAGCTATGGGTAAATAGCAGGATGGACTTGGATGGCAACTGGTCTAGGAGAAGGACAACTCTGAATTCAAAACTTGAGGAGGGTCGTTTGGGGACCTTGTGACACGTACTGCACCGAGTCTCTGTATTCGGTCCTTCAAAAATGTGGTTGGTTCTGCACAAAGCCTTCACCACTATAATCAAATCATATGTGCTGGTGTTTGGCTGTCGGTTCCTGTGAACTGAGCTGCTTGACCCACATACGTCGAATACGACGGGAGAGTGCACTATATATATATATATATATATATATATATATATATACACACACACACACACACACACACACACATATATATATATATATATATATATATATCAATTGATAATTAGTTAGGCTAATTCCAAGGAGGTCATTCATGCAAAGAGAGCTCAATGTAAGTAACAGAGCAATATAATCATAATAATAAGTACAGACGATCCCCAAAAATCCATTCGATTATTACTTTTTTTATGAATATTCAAATATTCATCTCTTAAGACCGAAGTATTTTTTAATAAATGAAGTCAAAAGGGAAAAGCAGCTCCTTTTAATTTTAGAGAAAGAAATAAAAATAAAAATTTCAATATAAGTTTTTTTTTTATTTTATTTAACTTTCTTTATTGATGTCAAATATTATTATCATTGTTATTATTAATTTGAAATTGTGATGATTATAATGATTGTTTTGCCGTCGAAAATGACATGAATATCATACAATGCAATGTATTTATTTTAAATCGGATCACTCCCTCAGCCTGTATTTTAACTTGTTCAGTTCTTAACGAAAAAATCATTCCTAGGTCATCTTATTGGTTCATGTTTAATTATTCCTTTTTTCCCATCTTTTCTTTCCCTCCCTTTCTCACTCTCTCCTTCTGTCTCGCCTTTCACCTCTTTTCCCTCGCTCGGTCTCTCTTTCTTTCTTCACCGCCGCCCGGATTTTTTTAAAAACCTTATATTGAAATTTTTTTTTTTATTTCTTCCTCTTTAATATTTTTTACCCTTTTTTATACGAGCACAAGAACAATTTAATAAAAAGCTTAATCGAATTACCTTCTCAGTTGTCTTTAATGAAAATTGTATAAAAGAGGGATTGCTGCCCAAACCTAGAATTATATATATATCGTCCATAGTTTATCTCTACTTTCACTGCTAGCCTGAAAAGTAGTTATGAGGGTTCATACATTAAAAAAAAAAAAAAAATGAAAACCTAACGATTTTTTTTTATTTCTGTTTATAAATAAGGTGTTCCAATAACTTGGAGCGATTTTAGATGTGAATTAAATTTAAGCGTCAAATGATTTTTTTTCTTTTTCTTTCAGATTTAACGACTTAATCAAACATTTAAAGTTATCGAAGCCTATTATGAAAATCGACAGTCCAATTTATAAATATACGGCCCAATGATTACGCTAGCGAAAAATGCACACCAAACAGTGACCTTTTGTGGATGCAGTGGCTTTTCAAAGATCTTCCTTGGATTTTCATCAGCCCAAATGCGACAATTCTGCTTATTAACGAATCCATCAATGGATTTCATCACAAAGGAGGATTTTTTGCGAAAAATCTTCATCGGTTTGTCTTTGTGCATCCAATTAATGAATGTGTGGCGCTCCAAATGGTGGGTAGGTTTCAGTTCTTGTGTCAATTGAATTTTGCAAGCGTGTAGAGATAAATCTTTTGTCATAATTCGATGTAACATTGTTTTGGAGAGGTTCAGTTACTGCGCGCGATATCGAATAGAGGTGACTAGATTTTCGGCCACATTATCCTGCACTGCAGCAATGTTTTCAGCTGAACGGCATAAACGAACACGCAATGGTGTTTTCACATCTGCCACCGACCCAGTTTGGTTGAATTTACGAATAGTTTTTTTAATTGCATTCTCGGTTGGTCGATTATGTTTACAAAAAAATCGCATGAAATGTACACACACACACACACACACACACACACACATATATATATAAAATAATATAGACAAGTTTTGTCTATTTTAAGTAAGTTCCTTTCATATTGTCTGATAAGCTTAATAACATTATCATTGAAAAACGAAAGGAAATCAGCATATTGATACATGTTTAGATCCAATCGAAGATTTCGGCTTACATAAGCCATTATCATAGATGACAATTACATTTTAATATATTAAACAATACACGGACGAAACAATAATGATAGTCTGTTTTTGTTGCATGAAAAATTTCAAAGCAACAACAAACTCGTGTATACAAGACGCGAAAGCGAAAATCGCGTCACAGCTCGTGACATCACACATGACCACGCGAGAGTGAAAACGAGAAATATTAAGTATGGGAAGCCATTGGTATAAGCCAATGGCTTCTGTTATCAATTATATACAGTTAAGAATATTTGTGGAGATTTCGTAGTTTATTTTGTTCAGGTTAGGTTTCAACTGTTTTATGTATATAGCTTCAAGAATTTTTAGTTTTGTTTATTGTTTTCATGTTTAAGTATAGTTGTGTTTTCAACAAGGATTGTCCGGACTTGTGTACACAGCCAGGCATGTTGTTTTAAATGCCTAAAATTGTTAGAGTTAACATTCAAATGTAGAGTCAAGCATTTAGGCATTTAAAACAACATGTCGCGTACATAATTGGATTTAAACATATATCAATATGGTGATTTCTTTTCGTCTTTCGATGATAATGTTATTAAGCTTATCAGACAAAATGAAAGACACAACTTGTCTATATTATTTAATGAAACATGCATCAATGAAAAATTGCTGGCTAAATAT